TTTGTGTTACATGTTGTGGTGCTGGTTGGGTGTGTAATTTCTTGAGCTATTTCTTCTTTGATTAGTTGATTTCGTGAGTTTCTGTTTTTTGTACTATGGCTCGTTTTTTGGTCTATGACTCGTTGTTGGGTGACTGATTTGTGCTAGGTGTGGGTATTCTGCGATGAAGAGAGTGGTGCATTTCTTGTTTGTATCCGGTAAGTTTTGTTTCAAGTTTGGTGCTTTGTAGTAACACGCATAAACAGTTTTGTCATGGTTTATATCCATGTCAGTGCGTTGTCGGGGTTTCCGGCCTTAGTGTTAGCAGGTTGACCTGGCAAAACACGTTCAGTGCTGGGTTAATGTTCGAAGCAGGGTCGTTGTCCCGTATGGTCGAGTATCCTGTTCCCGGCGTCGCGCCTCGACCTTGACGGACCGCTCGTCGAGGCTTCTGTTGTTGTATTGGAACGCCTTTCACCTATGTGGGGGTTGGCCTCAGCCACAGGGTTAGTAGGGTACGGTGCTCGCTACGGCACGTAATGGTAAGATGGTTACCTTCCTTGGGGATATTATTATTATATCGGTGTTTCTTGTGAGAACTCAGGTCTAGCCTGGTTAACTAATCGCACGGATTAAAACTCAAGTAACGATTAGTGTCTGTGTCTGTGTCTGGTGAAGTTATGTAGGGTTAAAAAAAAAAAAAAAAATCACACACGTACATTGGACATCTAGGGATAGTATGTAATTCGTACTTACCAACATACCTATGAATGGGCACAATAGCCAACGCTAATCAGGAAAGAAGGAAACAAAACAAAAAAACATCATTATAATAATTCCTGTAATTTTAATTAAATGGAGTTAATTGTGTAAGTGTTTCTTTGGCCTTTTGCGTTGGGGTTGAAATACGAGTGGGTTGTGTAACGTGGTGGGTCTTGTGAAGAAAGGAGTTTTGTGTTTTTTAAATTTGGTATTATGGTGTTTATTTGTTCCTGAGGTCGTATTTGTGGGTTGCTTGGTTTTGGTGGAGAATATTTGCAGTATTTTGTGAGCCCTGTGGGTGCTGTCTAAGGTTTTTTGCGTTTGCGGTTGTATACGAGTTGGGTTGTTTCTGAGAAGAAGGGTATTGTGTTTTTAACTGTGCTAGGGGCCGTGTAAATTTATTGATGGACTTCTTTGTAAGTACATTGTTGCGTTACTTTGTTTTATGGATGTTTTTCTTTGTTCTTGAGGTTGATATTTGTGAGAGGTTTGCTTGGGTTATGATGGAGATATTACAGTTAAAAAAAATTTTTTTTTTGTGAGCTAGTAGTGCTGTAGTAGGTTTTGGCGTTTGGTTGGAATACGAGTGGGTTGTGATAACGTGGTGTGCTTCGGTGAAGAAGGAGTTATTGTTTTATTGTTGCTAGGGGCGTGGTAACTTTAATTGGGTTGGCCTGTCTTTGTAGGCATGTTGCGTTACTGTATTTATGAATGTTCTTTGTTCTTGAGGTTGTATTTGTGAAGTTGCTTGGGTTTTTGGTGGAGATATTTTTAGTATTTTGTGAGTGCCTGTAGTTCCTGTTAAGGTTTTTTGCGTTGCGGTTTGAAATACGAAGTGGGTTGTGAAATGTGGTGTGTTCTGTGAAGAAGGAGTTAATGTGTTTTTTTAACTGTGCTAAGGGCGTGATATTTTATTGGTGGACCTCGTTCCTTGTAGTGCATGTTGGCGTTAGTTTATTTATGGTGTTTTATTTGTTCTTTGAGGTTGTATTGAGAAGGTGCTTGGGTTTTTGCTGGAGATATTTTAGTATGTTTGTGAGCCTGTAGTTCTGTTAAGGTTTTTTGCGTTGCGGTTGAATACGAGTGGGTTGTGAAAATGTGGTGCGTTTCTGTGAAGAAGGAGTTTTTTGTGTTTTTTAAAAAATGTGCTAGGGCGTGTAACTTTATTGGATGGACCTGTCTTGTAGTGCATTTGCGTTACCTTGTATTTATGGTGTTTCTCTTTGTTCTTGAAGTTGTATTTCTGTTGTTGCATGGGTTAACTGGTGGAGACATACAGTATTTTGTGAGCCTGTAGTGCTGTTAAGGTTGTTGCCGTTTGGGTTTGAGTACAAGTGGGTTGTGTTTGTGATACGTGTGTGTTTCTGAGAAGAAAGAGTAATTGGTTTTTTTAGCGTGCTAGCCGTGTGGGTGAGGGCCGGTCTTTGTAGTGCGTGTTGCCGTTACTTGTATTTATTGCGTTTGTTTTGTTTCAGGAATTGTGTTTGGTGTGGTTGGTTGAGTTAAGTTTGGGAAATTACAGTATGTAGTGGAGTCCTAAAGTGCTGTTTAGGCTTTTGCCGTTTGGGTGAATAACTAAGGGTGGTGAATGTGGTTTTCTTCAGAGGTGAATCTCTGATTGTAGTAATATGTTGTATCATTGTTGTGGCTTGTTTGTTCGGTAAGTTGTATTTGTGTGTTTGTTTGGGTTACGAGGTTGGAGATATTACAGTATGTTGTGTACCGTGTTGTGAGCGAAGTTACTGTTGTTTTACATGCCAATTATTGTTCGTAAATTTCCTAAACATAACACAAGATTACTACAATACAGAAATGATCCACAACGTATACATGTAAAAAACAGTACTCGCTCATCAACACGGTACACAACATACTGTAATATCTCCACGCTCTAACCCAAACAAACCACACAAATACACTACCGAACAAACAAGCCAACAAATGATACAACATATTAGCTACAAATCCAGAGATTCACGCTCTGAAGCAACCACATTATCACCACCCATTAGTATTCAACCCAAACGTCAAAACCTAAAACAGCACTTTAGACTCACCAACAATACTGTAATATTTTCCAACCTTTAAACTCACCAACCACACAAAACAAACTTCTGAACAAACAAACGCCAAATAAATACAAGTAAACCGCAACACGCACTACAAAGACGCCCCTCACCACACGGCCTAGCACAGCTTAAAAAAACAACAATACTCTTTCTTCTCAGAAAACACACCACGTTATCACAAACACAACCCACTTGTACTCACCCAAACGCAACAACCTTAAAGCACTACAGCTCACAAAATCGTAATGTCCCACCAGAACCCATGCAACAACAAGAAATACAACTTTCAAGAAACAAAGAAACACCATAAAGTTACAAGTAACGCAACAATGCAACTACAAAGACAGGGTCCATCCAATAAAGTTACACGCCCTAGCACATTTAAAAAACACAAAAACTCCTTCTTCCACAGAAAACGCACCCACATTTTCAACAACCCACTCGTATTCAACCGCAACGCAAAAAACCTAACAGAACTACAGGCTCACAAAATACTAAATATCTCCAGCAAAAACCCAAGCAACCTCTCAAATACAACCTCAAGACAAATAAACACCATAAATACAACTAACGCAAACATGCATACAAAAGACAGGTCCACCCAATAAAATTACACGCCCTAGCACAGTTAAAAAAACACACATAAACTCTTCTTCACAGAAACACACGCACATTTCAACAACCCCTCGTATTCACGCAACGCAAAAACCTTAACAGAACCTACAGGCTCACAAACATACTAAAATATTTCTCACCAAACCCCAGCAACTTCACAATACAACCTCAAGACAAAGAAACATCATAAAATACAAGTAACCGCAACATGCACACAAAGACAGGTCCACCCAATAAAGTTACACGCCCTAGACAATTAAAAAACACATAACTCCTTCTTCCACCGAAGCACACCACGTTAAATCACAACCACTGTATTCCAACCCAAACGCAAAACCTATACAGGCACTACTAGGCTCACAAAAATACTGTAATTTTCCATCAATAACCCAGCAACCTCACAAAACAAACCTCAAGAACAAAGAAAACACCATAAACACAGTAACGCAACATGTACTACAAAGACAGGTTCCATCCAATAAAGTTACACCGCCTAGCACAGTTAAAAAACACAATACTCCCTTCTTCTCAGAAACAACCCACTCAGTAATACAACCGAAACGCAAAAAACCTTAAACAGGCAACCAAGGCTCACAAAAACTGCAATATCTCCACCAAAAACCCAAAGCAACTCACAAATACGACCTCAGGAACAAAGAAACACCAATAAATACAATTAAAAAACACAACAACCCCTTCTTCACAGAAACACACACGTTATCAGCAACAGCACTCGTATTCAACCAAACGTCAAAGCCAAAGAAACACTTACACAATGAACTCCATTTAATAAAATTACAGGAATTATTATAATGATTTTTTTGTTTTGTTTTGTTTTCCTCTTTCCTGATAGCGTTGGCTATTGTGCCCATCAATAGGTATGTTGGTAAGTACGAATTACATACTATCCCTAGATGTCCAATGTGTGTGTTTTTTTTTTTTTTTTTTTTTTTTTTTTTTAAAGGACCCTACATAACTTCACCAGACACAGACACAGACACTAATCGTTACTTGATTTTAATCCGTGCGATTAGTTAACCAGGCTAGACCTGAGTTCTCACAAGAAACACCGATAATAATAATAATAATAATCCCGCAAGGGAAGGTAACCTCTTACCTTACGTGCGTAGCGAGCACGCGTACCCTTATCTAACCCTGTGCTGGGCCAACCCCCCACATAGGTGAAAGGCGGTTCCAAATACACGAACAGAAGCCTCGGACGAGCGTCGTCAAGGTCGAGGACGACGCGGGAACAGGACACTCGACCATACGGACAACGACCCTGCTTCGAACATTAACCCAGCTGAACGTGTTTTGCCAGGTCAACCTGCAACCACTAAGGCCGGGAAACCCCGACAACGCATGACATGGGATATAAACATGAACAAAACTGTTATGCGCTGTTACTACAAAACGACCAAACTTGAAACAAAACTTACCGGATACAAACAAGAAATGCACACTCTCTTCATCGCAGAATACCCACACTTAGCACAATCAGTCACCCAACAACGAGTCATAGACCAAAAACGAGCCATAGTACAAAACAACAGAATTTCACCTCACGAAATACAACTAATCAAAGAAGAAATAGCTCAAGAAATACACACCCAACCAGCACCACAACATGTAACACAAACTGATACAAGGATAGACCCCCAAGAAGACACTATCACAGTAACACCACAAGAAAATACCCTCACACATGAAACACAGATTAACACACCAACACAAAAAACACACAATCCTACCACATCACAGGCACAATACGCAGACCTTCTAACAACTGAAATGGAAACAAACATAGCATTATGGACAGGAACGGATCCCACGAAACGAGAAACATTGCCAAAACTAATATTCAAAAAAGAAACCAAACAGCTGATAAACTTAATGAACCATAACATCATATCACAATACGTAACAGAAGACAGTAACCTTGAAGAACTACATTTAGTAACCTACGCAGCTGCAAAAACGGTACTAGCGTGCAATGGACAATTTACGAAACAAACAGTGAATCTTAAACTAACAAGTACCAAGCAAAAGAAACCAAAATGGCAACAGAGAATAGAGACAAAAATAAACAAATTAAGAAGAGACATCGGAAGAATAACTTAGTATGAAAAAGGAAACAGATCAAAGAAAATCACAAAACATATAGAAAAAATCAAGAAAGGAACGTCAGAGAACATGTATGAGATAAACGACACACTCAAACAGAAACTAGCAGTGTATTCCTCACGTCTGACTCGATACAAAGAATCTAACCAGATAAAAGCAGACAACAATATGTTCAACAAAAGTGAAAAACAATTTTATAAAAAGTTAAAAACCAGTACAAAATATGAAGTTAGACCCCCCAGTAAAACAGACATAACAAACTTTTGGAAAAATATGTGGAGCCATGAAAGTAAACACAATGATAAAGCATACTGGATCGAAGAAGAAGAACAAATACATGGGGATATCAAAGAACAAGAAGATTACATAGTAACGGAAAAAGAGTTAAAACAAACAATTAAACAACTACCAAACTGGAAAGGTCCTGGTAAAGATAACATACATAACTTTTGGTACAAACGATTCACGATCCTACACAAACACTTAACAGCACAGATAAACAAAGTCATCCAAAATCCTACAGAATTTCCCACATTCATCACACCAAAAAACGCTGAAACGTAAAACCCAGCCAACTACAGACCCATAACGTGGTTACCTACCTTATATAAAATAATTACAGCCACACTATGCAGGAAAATAGACACACACCTCACAAACAACAACATAATAGCCGAAGAACAAAAAGGATGCCGAAAACACAGCCAAGGATGCAAAGAACAATTAGTAATAGACTCGGTCATCATGAGACAGGCAACAACAGATAAACGTAACATATGCACATGTTATATAGACTACAGGAAAGCGTTTGATACCGTACCACACAGCTGGCTAAACAAAATCATGAACATATACAAAATAAATCCAACACTACATCATTTCCTCAAAACAATCATGCAAACTTGGAACACACAAATACTTCTTGCAACGAACACAGAACAAATAATAACAGAGACGATAAGAATCAAGAGAGGGATATTTCAGGGCGACTCTCTAAGCGCGTTATGGTTCTGCATGTGTCTGAACCCACTCTCTAACATACTGAACAGAACTAACTACGGCTTCAAGATAAAACACGATAAACAAGAAGGACACAAAATCACCCATTTGCTGTACATTGATGACATAAAAATATACGCTGCAACAAAATCACAACTGACACAACTGGTAAAAATAATAGAAAAATTTACAAAAGACATTAATATGGAATTTGGGATCGAAAAATGTAAAGCCATGCACATAGAAAGAGGGAAACTAACAGATGAAAGCGAACCAGAAACTTTAAACAACGAAATACTAACAAACATGCAGATAAATGAAACATACAAATATTTAGGCATAAATCAAAGCACGACCATTAAACACACATTAATCAAACAACAACTAAAGGATGAATACAAGAAAAGACTCAACCAAATCCTAAAAACAGGGCTTAATTCAAAAAATCTGTTCAAAGCTGTAAACACATACGCAATCCCTACTCTTACATACTCGTTTGGAATTATAAAATGGACAGATACAGACTTGGAAAACATAAACATCTTAACACGAGCACAACTTACTAAACATAGAAAACTAGGTACCTACATCCTAACTCGGCAAAAGAACGCATCACCATTAGCAGACGAGAAGGAGGAAGAGGTTTAATAGACATAGCTGAACTACACTCGACACACATACAACACCTAAGACAATACTTTCACAATCAAGAACACCCCATTCATGCAGCAATTACACGAGCAGACAAAGGCTACACACCCCTCAACCTTCACGACACAAACATCACACATCCACACTATCAAACAACACAAGATAAAAAGGAACAATGGTTACACAAACAACTACACGGTAGACACCCACACATAGTACAAGACGAACACATCAACACGCAACAAAGTTACAAGTGGCTACAAGACGGGATCATACAACCTGAAACAGGTTTTCTAATCGCAATTCAGGACCAAGTCATAGCAACACGAAATTACAGAAAATCTATTCTAAAAGAAGACATGGAAAATGACAACTGCAGAAAATGTCACATAGGAAAAGAAACAATAGACCACATCACCAGTGGTTGTAAAATACTAGCAGGAAAGGAATATACAAACAGACACAATCTTGTAGCAGGCATAATACACCAGGCACTAATACAGAAACACAACACCAATATTGACACACAACCCTACTACACATACACACCAACAACAGTCACAGAAAACCAAGACATAAAAATATATTGGGATCGAACCATACACACTGACAAAACAATTACACACAATCGCCCAGACATCACATACACAGACAAGCATAACAAAACAACATACCTAATCGACATCAGCATACCAAACGACGACAACATTCACAAAAAACACCAAGAAAAAATTGAAAAATATACACCCCTCGCACAAGAAGTCCAAAGAATATGGAAACAGGATAAAGTCTTAATACTTCCCTTTATATCTGTTACAGGTCTCATACACATCACATTTACACCAAACCTAGACATACTACAACTACCACCACGTACACACACACTAGCACAAAAATCCGTCATCCTCAAAACATGCAATATAGTGCGATCTTTTCTACACTGGCCATAAAAATAACAATAGGTATCAGTGGTACTTGGTGTTGACACCCGTCTACTGATATAACTCCACAAAAGTGTGAAATTCAATTAAAAAAAAAAAAAAAAATAATAATATCATCTAAGCATACACGAGCATCATTTTAAATGTGAATGTATGGGATAAAAACCATTGTGTGCACCACGGTACGACAGTTGTTTCCCGGGTGTTGGGAAGTATCAAGCGTCGTCCACTGGAGATATTTTCCTTCGCCCCGGAAAACATCCACTTTCTCCTCTTGGTACCTAAACAAAGTACTATTTCTTCACATCGAATCGATTAAATGAATAAATTGCAAATATTATAATTAAACTTACTTATTTGAAACATTGTGGTTATTTAGGGATTTCCTATTCTATATTTTCTTCATTTCCTCCTTAATTCACACGAGGTGGGAAGAAATTTGTAAACGTACTGTGTTTTGTATCGCAATTTGATTCAAAGGTGCAACTTTTCTTTAATAATCATATCCACTTTTAACAGCGTTTGGTTAAAATCATCTCACTTTTTATACAGGGTATAAATAAATAAATAAATTGTTAATCGCAGTCTCCTAATACTCTTACTTTGCTTGAATGAATTTTCATAAATAAAAAAATCAGGTAAATGGAACGTCACCGTGAAATTGATGTATAATAGAGGTAGGTAACATTGACGTACGTAAAACGAACTCTCAACAAAGTTTAATTCGGAATCTAAGCGAAAAGTAATTTGAGGCTTCGTAATATATTTCATCAAAATGCCCATAGGCTGTTTCTCCAATCTTGAGATAAATTTGTTTAAAGCAACTTCGAACTTATTTTGAAGCTTGAATTATGGATATGCGGAATAAACCTTTTACTGTGTCAGAAACGGTTTTAATACCTGGATGAATTTTAATGGCAGGTTCATTAACATGTCAACAGGCACATGCCTTTCGCCGAATTGGAGATTGTTCAGTTTAGACTCTGTATCTGCGTTAGATGAAACGGGGTCACGTGGAGCTTTATTACCACAAAGGGTTAGGTATCCCTAAGTTGTACTGCGATCATAAGAGCTTTAACTGTGTTATGTAATTAACAATTTGCAATTGTAGGTAATGGAGTATTATTAGGTTAGCGTAGAGAATTTCTCTATAATAGGTACCTCAACTTATATACGATACAAAGGCGTCACCGCCGCGCATGAATTTCAAAATCTGATGGCAAAATAAATATTTAACCAGTGTCATCGTTTACAAGCACAAGATAATGGAGACAAAAGTAGATTATCTACGTGTAATTAGTTCGTTTAACGCTGTTGAATTCGTGCAATTAGGAAAAAATTCATAAGCATTGAAAACCGTTTCTTTTGGTACTCTTCCTTAATGTGTTCGTCATTTAATGGGACGGCTTCCGTTCCGTACTTCATCAATGAAACGTGCCCGCACGGTTAAATTAAAACTAACTGTAAAACATATGTAGGAAGTTCCGACATTGTTCTGACGTACTCGGTCTCAACTCCAACAGGCGTTTATGTTATAAAATTCTAAAATTAAATAATTGAATATTGTAGTGAGTGATTAATTTACGTCTGTGCAGCTGCCTGCCAAACATTTATTTTGAGGAACATAATAATAACAGTAACGGCTTCATTCTAATAGAGATCTGCTGTGTTTTATTGTCAATGTGAAAGTCTGCAGAACAATTTTGTTTTCTAATTTTTTAATTAAACTAAATTATCTGCTATGCTCTTTATGGTCGGTTAACTAAAGTGCATAATTCTTAAACGTCATGGTATGTTTATTTTAATCGATTAATTTTCCAAATACACGCCATAAATTCACGTACAATTTGCAGTAACTCAACGTGTTTTCATAATTGGATCGTAAGCGCTGCTAATAATATTGGTAGACTTTAATTGCACACTAATTAAATTCTATTAATATAACAATCCCAGTTACGAACTTAACTTCCGGCGATTTTTTTAGACTATAGCTATAGTCGCACTACTAATCGGTGTTATCAATGTGTTCCAACCACACAGTTTTTACAGGATGGTAATTGCGTTAGTAGCTATGGTCAGTCAGGTTGAAACTTTTTCTAACGTTAAAAGGTCTCATTAAGCTCCTTCTCCTTAATTTATATAATAAATATTTCTCGGTGATAAGAAATCTGCGTAACCGCAATGACTCAGATCAATAACACCTTTTTCACAAGTATACTACTAAAGTGTTAGTTAATGTGTTGACACGTTCGGTATCACATTTAAAAATATTCAAAATGGCATAAATTCAGTGAAATAGTGCCTTAGGAACCTAAGTTTTGTGTACCAGAAGAACGAGGATAGTTTATTTGTGTGCCAATCCGTAATTAGTGACAGTCCATATGGTAATTGTCATCGAATCCATGACTGCAGTTGCCAGAAGACGTCAGCTTGTTCGAAGAAGAAGTTACTATACATACAGTAACTATTTAAAATACAGGTGAATATTTTTGCATAAATTTTATTGTCGACTAACTTTATTTTGTTTGTATACACAATTTATACATTCGGTTATTCTAGGAACAAATGTCAATTGGCCAACTTAACCTACACGCTTTCATTTCAACCAGAGAAGTTGCAGAAAGCAATGTTCTGACAAAAATTTGATATAATGTGGGAATTGTGAGTACTTTCTTAAGTATAGGCTTTCAAATATTAGCTCGACTAGAGATCAATTAAATTTTTATTATGAGAAATTCATGTGTAGCTTCAGCTTCCGAGCATCCAGCTTTTTCTATTTTCATTTCAGTAACTGTATCGAAAAATTTCTATTCCCGGTCTTCAGTCCATTCGTACCACGATTCGTACGTCTACAAAGGAGAACTCTAATAAAATGTGCTTTTGCTTTCTGTTGCTTAATATGATCGGGGGGAAGAATAACTAGATACATACAGATTAATCAATGACCATCACTCATTCCTATTCCCTTTTATGGTGCTTATAAGATGTATACGTCTCTGTTTTATTTTCGATGACAAGATCGCCTAATTGATAAAGATTTTAGATGGCATGTTAGTATATTTTTTTGTGATCGGTAACTGTAATTAAATTAATTGTAGTATAAAGGGTCACAGCGATAAGCTGGGTCGATTACGTATTATTCCGGAAACAAATGTGATTAGTTTTCTCGCTTATGTGTTTTATTGATTCAAATACTATCCATTATGGTATAGGAAAGTCAAAATTACTTCATTGACTATGTTGAGCGGCAGTTGAATAAAATGGCATACTATTTGTGTTTTTGCCATTAAATACAAATTTTTTAATTTGCGTGTAGATAAGAAATTGTACTGTCAAGATCGGATTTTAATCTATTAATTACGAGATTAATTATGACATTACGAGCACATGAATTTTTAATATGGTCCTCAAACACATAAATGTATCGTTTATAGAGTGGGAAATGTCATTCAGGAACTGTGAAAAAGTAGATGCGTAGAGTTTTTAATACCACTTTTGGTTGATACTCATTATATAAAGAATAGATTGGTTTTTATTAATTTTTTTTAATGATAAATTTGGAGTAATTTGGACACCTGCATATCTACACCTAAACCAAAATAATTTGATGTGATTACTTTCTTTGAACTGCTTCTACGCAGATGCATCTTCATTTTACTTCAAAGAATTTTTAAGTGCAGATAGGTACTTGTGGTGTCAATGAATCCACTGGGATCTCGACTGGGGTCTTTATAAATTGAAGTTGATCACTCGCTTAAAATCTGGCTCAGTTCAGTTAATGGTAATAAGGGTGGTAATATGCAGTGTTTCGTTATAGCTATTAAGATAACTAGGTGTTTTATAGGTAGGTACTTTAAAGGAGGACGCCTATTTTAAATCCGAGCGAGGTTTTAATGGGCAGAGTTATTTAAACTATAAAACACCGAGTTATCTTCAAGATTTTTTATAACACTGAAGCTTATTTTATCTGAATTCGTCTTGTATCTATATTTGATCATGAGAGAAAAATGTGCTTCAAGGCTGGTGTAGCTAGTAACCATGGTAATATAATAAAAA